ATACAGATGAATGTCCATTTTGTATCTGTGTATTCAAAGTGGTTAGGATAGATATATAGTGACATTCTCTTAATGAATAGAAGGATTTGTTCTAATGGTGTTTGTAAATAGGATATCAAGTCCGCATCTTGTACAGCAATTAACTGCTGGGAGGAATGTATGCAATGTGTTAATTATTGAAACTGTCCTACCAGTTTGATTTGAAACTGTCTCATTGCTATTTATCAGTAAAATTATGGGGAAAAAAACCTCTTGAAAAATATTTATTTTTTTAATATAAGGTAATTTTATTTTTGTGGCTGGCTCCGCCCACCCTGTGGGCAGGCTAGTGTGGCATGTGTGCCGGGGATCGAACCGTGGTCCCGGTGCTTTTGTCTAAGCTTGCCTAAGCAGGTGCTTTGGACCACTGAGCTATCTCGCATGCCCCTTGAAAAATATTTAAAATATAGACATGACTATAGTTTCATTTTAAAGAACTGACACATCAACTGGAAATTGTGGTGTGCACACCAGTAACCCTAGTGCTCAGGAGGCTAAGGCAGAATGATTTGCCTTGAGTTCAAGACTAGCTAGGCTACAAAATGAGTGTATTTATTTATTTACTTATTTTTTACAAAATGAGTTTAAGTTCAGCCTGAAATACATAGTACGACTCTGCCTCAATAAAACAAGAAAGCAAATAAACAAACAAAAAATTAACATCATGGAACTGGAACTTACTTGTGCCAACGTGGGCTACTTAAGAATCACATGGAAAATATTTTTTCAAGTGTAAAAATAAAAAAATGTTAAAGCATTCCACTTTCTGTTTTATGGAAAATTGTATTAAAAGTAAAAAAAAAAAAGTAATTTTCTTTGTCCAATTAAAAAATAAAAAAGAATCACATGGAAAACCAACTGTGATACAAACTGGTAATCTCAGCACTCTGGAGGGCTGAGGGAGTAGAATAGTAAGTTTGAGTCCAGTCTAGATGACTTAGTAAGATCCTGTTTCAAAATAAAAAACAGAATAGATGGTGAGGATTGCTCAGTGTGAAGGCCCTGAGTGTAGAACTGGAAAAGGTCACTTAAAAAAAAAAAAAAAAAAAAGAAATGTTGACATATTTCTGTCATAACTTGTGACTTTGATTAGATCGACAAATTTGTTATCTTTAACTTTGAGACAGTTTCCATGAAGATAGTCAGGTGGTCACATACTTTGTAATAAGCTTCAGAACACCATTTCTTTGTGGTACTAACTGTAGTACTGTAGTTAACGTTTCTCTGAGTGTAAACTCCCTGAGGGAATACCTTGTTTGTTTGTTTGTTTTTTTCCTTTTTTGGTACCAGCTGTTGAACTCAGGACCTGTGTTTGCCAGGCAGGCTCTTAAGCCACTGAGCTCTCTCTAGCAACCATTTTTTCCCTTAGCCGTACACCTTGAGTGGCTGTTACATTGTAATAGGAATTGAGTAAATCTCTGTTAGGAGTTAAAAAAAAAAATAAGTTTTCTGTCTTTTACCATGCCAAAAGTGATGTAGTATTATATGATAAATACTGTTTACGTGGGTTTTGATTTCAGATAACTTAGGTTTTATTCTTAGCTCTACCACCAGTTGCTGGCTGATCTTGGGCAGAAGCCTGGTAGAGTACATGATAGTAGTGGTTACTATTTTTCTACTTGTCTTCCTGCTTCTCTGTCTCTGGATATGACTACCTTGAGAACAGAAATAGTGTTTAGATCTAGCAGAACCTGCTGTGGTGCTTGACATCTGACAAATAATAGTTGAAATTCTGAAGTTAAGATTAAGAGACATATACTTACAGCATAAATGGTAGTTAACCCATGCTTCAGCTGTACTGAATTTGCAGCTTTTGCAAAGCTCTTTGTTGTCTCTGGTACCTGGGATGTGTGCACACCACTTAGTCTGCTTGAAATGTTCCCACTTATTCTTCACAGACAACTTGTTTTTCATGACTCAGTGTAAGCCTTGCCTCCTCCTAGAAAGCCTTTCATAAATAACCTCTCTGCATTTTAGCTCATTTCTCTAGGTTTCTCAGTTCTAGGCGGGTAAGCTTTTGTTGTAGGCACACAGTCCTGAATGTTTAATAGCATCCCAGGTCTCTACCCACCAGTTATCAGTAGCATTTTCTCTACTCATGAAAACCCAGAATGTATCCAGTCATCGCCAAGTGTCCCCTCGAGGACAAAAATCATTTTTGATTGAGAAACTCTAGAACTATAGTCCTTACTAAATAGCATTACAATTGCCAAATTTTCTTAACCTCCTCTTCCGCCTCCGCATAGAATATAAGTTCCTTTTGAAGACAGTAGCACTTTTTTCTTGGACTTTTCACTTTGCATGTGAGTGGCTGTTAATGGCATTTCTAAGATACTCAGCACCAATATTTTCCCAAAGGCAGATATTTAGTAGCAGACTTGCAGGAATTAAGATGATGAAGGTATTTTTAAATTTGGGTCTAAACTTGATTATCTTTTTATGGTCACCCTTGCTAAGAGTTTATAGAAATACAAGGCCTTTCTGCTTTCCTGTCTTTTTATCATCCCATCCTGCTGCCACTACCTAAATGGCCATTTCACCTTGCATCAGATTTTTGGAGCGCTGCCTTTTAAATGTATTCCAATTGCAGTTGCCTCCTTTGCTGCCTACCCTGGTCTTAAGTTATTTCCCTGTCTTACCTGGATTGTAGCAGTAGACTTCTCATTGATTTTCCTGTTCTCTACATTGTCCTTTTCCAGTCAGTTCATTACACAGCAGCCAAAATGATACTTAATAAAACATTATATAGCTCATAATCATTTTTCTGTATTAGAAAAACACTAGGGCTGGGGGTGTGGCCCTGTGGTAGAGCTTGAGTCCGGCCTAAGTTCAAGGCCCTTCACCAAAAAGATGAAAGAAGTGCAAGACTGCTACTTTAGTGTCAGATCTACAGTGTTTTTTTCTTTGTCTTCTTTTGGTTTTATTTTTTTGAGACAAGGTCTTGCTGAATAATTCAGACTGGTTTTGAACTCATTTATGTAACTCAGGCTGGCTTCAAACTAGTGCAATTCTCCTACCTCAGCCTCTTGAGTGCTGGGGTTAACAGGCATGCACCACCACACCTGGCTTAAATGGTGTTCTTAAGCTAATTTTGACTGCAAACAGTCACTGCACTGGTTCTTTTTTCAGGAGGAACAGCACAGCATGCTGGGCTCTGGATTTAAAGCTGAGCGTTTACGAGTCAATTTGAGATTAGTCATAAACCGTCTCAAACTACTGGAGAAAAAAAAAAGTGAGTAGTGCATGATTCCTTTCTCATTTCTTTCCCAAAATACATCACCATGTACCAGCACCTCATTTCTGAGTCTTCTGGACCAGTGTTGTGTTGTTTCAGGGCCATCATGTCTTTTTGAGCTTTAGATATATTTCTGTCTTTTTGACAAAGTTAGACTAGATTGCGTTTTGTTGAGAAAGAAACATTGTGTGCACTTTAAACATTCATGGGTCCTACATTTGAATTCACCCAACTATTTACTGTTCAGAAATATTTAGGTAAAAATTACATTTGTAATATGTACAGATTTTATTTTGCTGTTCCTAAACAATTTATTACAACACATTTATACATTCTGCTAATGATTATAAATAACCTAGAGATGACTTAAAGTATACAGGATATGCATAGTTAATATGCAAATACTATGACATTTAAAGGGGCTTGAGCATCTTTGGATTTTGGTGTGTGTGGGGTGTCCTGGAATCAATCCCTTTTGAATACCTAGGCATAACTGTATTTTGTTGCTGTAGAATAGTAGTATGACTCCTGAGTTGGAAATGTCAGGCTAAATACTATGTTCTCATGCACAGTAACAACTCTAGAATAATTGACTTGGGAGTGGGTGAAATGGAAGTAGATTAACAAAGGCAATATAAGCTAGGACAGTGGTGGCAAACCTGTGGCCCATGTGCTATAGTGAACTGTATCACTAAACACTCTAAAAGGATCACCCTCTCTAACTTAGGATATAGTACAAATACCCAGTTCAGTTGGGGTAGAGGTCTACTCAGAAGCCAGGTCCCAGTACCCTGATGGTATGTGACTAGAAGGGGATTTGTGCTTTAGCGGAACTGGCTCAGAAAGCAAGGAAGGAGATTGCTGATTATCTGGCTGCTGGGAAGGATGAACGAGCACGGATCCGTGTGGAGCACATCATCCGCGAAGACTACCTTGTGGAGGCCATGGAGATCCTGGAACTGTACTGCGACCTGCTGCTGGCTCGGTTTGGCCTCATTCAGTCTATGAAGTAAGATATTTTGATTCATAGACTTAAATCACATCTGAAATTTGAGAATAGAGTAGTATTAGTCTTTTATTCCCCTTGTACATGTAGCGGGAAGGGACTATTTGTCATCCCTGAGTATCTTTTTTTTTTTTTTTTTTTGGTCTTTTTTGAAACAGGGTCTCATTGTGCAGTTCAGGATGGCCTAGAGCTCACTTTATAGGCCAGGCTGACCTTGAACTGCCAACCACCCTCCTGCCTCAGCCTCCCAAGTGCTGGGATTGCAGGCATGCACTACCACGCCCAGCATCCCCAAGTGTCTTTTTTCCAAATAGTTATTTGAAGGTATGTTCTCAATATAGGAATCTGTTGAAAAGGAAATAATCTGAAATCAAGAGGCCTAATTTTGAATCTTGGTTTAACTGTTTCCTGGCTATTGGATTTCTTAGTGTGAGAAATGGCTTAGAGGTCTAGACTTATCTTCAGACTTTAGTGAATTATAAAATAGCCCAACAGGGAAGAAAGATAGAAATAGCTAGTATTACATTGGTTTGTTTAAAAGAATTATTACATTAATTTTTTTCCCTTATTAGAGAGCTAGATTCTGGACTGGCTGAATCTGTGTCTACACTGATATGGGCTGCTCCTCGACTCCAGTCAGAAGTTGCCGAATTAAAAATAGTGAGTACAGCCTCAGTCACTGATCTCAGTAGTTTTTCCTTGTGTTAGGAGGGTTTATGAATGTGAGTCACTTCTGCTGGTTTGAACAGGGTTTTTGTATCCTGATGCTGCTTTTGAGACAAACTTTATGAATTTTTTTTCCTTTTCAGGCCTTATGTTATAGAGACAAATAGTGTTTTGTAAAGCAAATTTGATTTTTTTTTAAATTTGAATAATTTTAAGGAGCATAGTTTTAAGTGTCTTTTATTCTTTCCTTCAATTTTGTCTTTTAAATTACTTTTTTTTTGGCGGCCTCAAATGCTTTCAGGGTATTTATGGGTTGGAGTGAGTATCTGGGTTCGAACCCCAGCATCCTGAGCCTGACTGCTTTGTTTAAGTAGGCACTTAAACAACTGAGCTAAAGGGCAGGCCTCCTTAAATTACTTTTGCTATAATTTTTTAACCTTATACAGAGAAAAATATTTAAAAACTTTTGTTTCTTGGGCCGGGGAGATGGCTCAGTGGAATAAACACATCCCAGGCAAGCGCAAGGGCCTGAGTTCAATCCCCAGTTCCGCAAAAAACGCAAAAATTTTTGTTTCTTGTAATACTGTCAGTCCCAGGGCCTTACATATGCTAGGGAACACTGAGCAACACTTCTAGCCCCTAGAACGCCTCATATATAACTGTAACCAGTAAAGTTGACTTACAACTAAGGTACTTTTGCTTCATTAGCCCATAAATATTGGACATATATTACAAGCCATGTGAATACTTTCTAAGCTATGTTAGAACAGTGGTGAGCAAATAATGCCACCAGCCACACTCTTAATTAGAGTAAAAGAAGAGACAAATGTTAAAAACTGTTTATCAGGGGCTGGGGAGGTAGCTCAATGGTCTAAGCGCCCGCCTTGCAGGTGCAAGGACCTGGGTTTGGTCTACAGTACCACTTGCCATGCTGGCCACCAGAATTGGGCATGGTGGTGCACACCTGTAATCCCAGCATTGGGGAAGCTGGGGTTATAGGAGGATCACCATGAGTCCAAACTGCATAGCGAGACCCTGTGCCAAACAAACAAATAAATAAAAGATTTTTTTTTTAAAAAAAGGTTTATCAGGGGCTGGGGAGATGGCTCAGTGGAATAAGTGCTTCCCTGGCAAGCGCAAGGGCCTGAGTTCAATCCCCGGTTCCACCAAAAAAAAAAAGTTTTATCAAATACAGATAAGGTACTTACTGCAATGATACAGATTCAGTTGAGTTGGTTTCTAATTTACATTTTCACCTTTTTGTTTTGTCTAGGATATTGTCTTTTAATTTCATAACTCATCTGAGATTTCCTTGTCTTTTGTATCTACAGTGTCTTCTGTTTTTTTGTTTTTTCTTAAATCTTTTATTTATTTATTATTTGGGGGCTGGCCTGATAGCTCAGTGGACTAAAGCCCCTGCTTAGAGCACAGTGGCCAGGGTTCGATCTCTTGTGTGTCATGCTGGCCCTGCCCAAAGGGCATACTGAGATGGTGACTGAGACTGGGTGTGGTGGTGCACTGTAATCCCAGCACTTTGGAGGCTGAAAACAGGAGAATCACTGAGTCCAATTTACATAATGAGACCCTGTAGATCCTGTAGTAAATACAGAAGAAGAAGAAAAAAAAAAATAAAACCCCCTGCTACTTATTATTTGGTGCAGGGTCTTATTACGCAGCTCAGACTCGCTACACAACTCAGACGCATAGTGATCCTCTTGTATCAGCTTCCCCAGCGCTGGGATTATGGACGTGCACCACCATGCCCAGTTTCGGGGCCAGCACAGCATGGCAGTACTAGGGATCAAACCCGGATCCTTGCATTTGCCAGACAGGCGCTTAGACCACTGAGCTATCTCCCTAGACCTTCTGTTTGGTATTGATCATGCATTCTTTTTAACTTTTCTTCTTTGAGTCATATTTCTTTAAAGTCTTCTAAAATGTTCTCTGATTAGAAGCTTTTCCATAGGTTTGGTGATCTTTGACTCTCGGTTTGTACTTAAGATTACAACATTGAAAGCTGATTGGAGGGCCTGGGAGATAGCGCAGTAGAATAAGTGCTTGCTTGGCAAATGCAGGGTCTTGAGTTCAATCCCTGGTACCGCAAAAAAGAAAAAGAAAAAAAAAAAAAAAAGCTGATTGGAACCTTTTATGTACATGGGTAGAGTTTATTCCCTGCTACACTCATTGTTAGATGATCTGGTTTTTTGTTGTTGTTTGTTTGTTTGTTTGGTATGGAGGTTAAACTCAGGACCTTGGGCTTGTCAGATAGGCACTTATGCCACTGAGCTGTCTCACTGGTTTTAGACAATCTTCAAAGTTCTTTCCAGGGAGGATTCCAGACTGAGAAACTAGTTTTGGCTTGATTATTTTCTCCAGAGAAGATCCCTTCCTGTTTTCTACCTATAAGAGGACCCAATTGGAGCAGGAAGCCAAAAGCCTCGCTGATAGATAGAAGACTAATACTTAGTTCTTCTGTTACCAGTACATATCCCTGCTCTCTTCTGTGTGTGGACTCTAGAATCCTGGTAACCTCTCCTATCTTCTGATGAAATAAAAAGGACAAGGCAGGTACCAGATTTCATGAGAGGAAGGAAAGACAATGATTTCTTCTACAGATTTATTTAGTTTCCCCATACTCATTTGAAATCACTCTCTTACTGCAAAAGGTCTAAATATGTTATAGAACCTAAAAGTCATAAAGAATGATAGATTAATGTAATAAAAATATTTAAACCCTGTGTATAACACACACACAAAAAAAGTCAAATAACAAATGAAAATTTGTAGTACTTGGGACTTGTGATAGTCCACATATTACATAGTGAGAAGCTCTGCTCCTGGGATTTGGGTGCCATACAGTGTCATTATCTCCTTCCTAAATTCTTACAGCTTCATTCTCCCTATATTTACTTCAACTTTGTTCGTCTGTTCATGCCATCAGAATTACCTATGAATTTTATTCACAGATATAAGCCAATCACTACGCCCTGCTTTAAAGCACTTTAGTAGCTTTTTTTTTTTTTTTTGATTGATTGATCTTTGGTGCTGGAAATCTACTCAGGACCTTGCTCTTGCCAGGCAGGCATCATGTTTCTGAGCTATGTCCTGGGCCCCTATCTTTGGTTCTTGTAATAGAAACAAAATATGGTGTCATGATTGACCTTGCATTGTCTGGATCTCTTTTTTTTTGAGACAGGGTCTCATGTAGTTCAGACTGGCCTTGAACTCACTATGTATGTAGCCCAGGCTGGTTTTAAATTTGTAGTGATCCTCCTGACTCAGCTTCCAGAGTGCTGAGCTTCACTTGTCTGTCTTCATCTCTTACCATACTCATTTTCATCTACCGTGTTTTATCTACAGGAGGCCTTTGCATGTGCTGTCCTCTTTTCCTTGAGTGCTCTTCTCTCCTTAGTCAACTTCTAGTCCTTCTTCAATCTTGATAAAGCTTCACATCGCTCAGGCAGGCTCACCTAACTATTCTGGTCAGATCTAACAATCCTATTGTAGGCTAATAATGTAGTATACTTTCCCTTTGTAGCACTTAGCACAGTTATAGTTATATACTGTCTGTGCTTGATTACTGTTTTGCTAAGAGATTTTAAGACACAAATTTGAAGTGTTTTTGTTCACTGTTGTATTTATAGTGCATATGAATATGCTTTTAGTAGTGTTTGGCATTTGGTTGCTGTTCATTGGATAATAAATTAAGTTGTACTAATTAATGAATTAAGGTTTTATAGACCTCATTTTTGGGAATTATGTAATGAAGCATGTTTTTGATATTGGCACGTGGAAACTTGAAGCAGTGTATAGGAATAGTTTTTATTTACTATTCTTTCTTCTCTATAGGTTGCTGATCAACTCTGTGCCAAGTATAGCAAAGAATATGGCAAGTTATGTAGGACCAACCAGATTGGAACTGTTAATGACAGGGTAATGAACATACTTGGTAAATGTGAAGTGGTGTGTGAGTGTCTTATTCTGTGTCTGCATCCATCCATCCATCCATGTGTGCCACCCCTCCCCTCTCCCTGTGTTGAACCCACATCTTGCTAAATTACCCAGGCTGGCCTTTCTAATCTCACACATACTAAGGATTACACACATGTGCCATTGTGCCTGAGTGGGAGCAGTTTGCTTTTTTGCCTACAGTGATTCTAGTACCACTGAATAGCTGAGTTAATCAAGGGCTGTGTATTTCATAGTAAGGTTGAGAATGAAGCCTGCATAGGTGGCAGTGGAATCATTTCTCCTGCACTCTCAGAACATAACACTCTGTGATTGCTGACTTCTCCTCCCCTTTGTGCCCTTGTGAGCTGTAAAGGTATAAAGTGGGGAGAGGGTTGGATACAAATGTTGAAGTCCATGGTGTTAGTCTTTTATCAGTATATTATAACCAGAGAATGTGAAAAATTGAGTCATATTGTACCTGTGATTCTGGAAAAAAGAATGCTGTAACTGCTCTGATCCTCTTTCTCAATTTTACTTATAGAGGAACTGAGGGGCTGGGGAGATGGCTCAGTAGGATAAGCGCTTGACGGGCAAACGCCAGGATCTGAGTTCAATCCCCGGTTCCGCAAAAAAAAAAAAAAAAAAAAGAGGAACTGAGTTTAAAAAGAGACAGGTTAGAATTGGGTTGGTTGGAATAGATAGGTCTATCTAAACCCTCGGTCTTTCACTTACAGCTAATGCATAAACTCAGTGTGGAAGCCCCACCCAAAATCCTCGTGGAGAGATACCTGATTGAAATTGCCAAGAATTACAATGTACCATATGAGCCTGACTCTGTGGTTATGGTAAGTTTATCCTAGAACACAAAGGAAAATGAGTCTCTTGATAAGATTTTGAAAAAACAAAAACAAAACCATAGTCTTTGCACTAACTTAAGTTGGTATGTGTAAATTTTAAGCCTTTGTTCGTGCCTATTTGGGTAAGAATAACTACAGCTGTGTATCTCCTGAGGTAGTTGAGGATCAGATCAGGTGAGTGACTGAAAGTACTTTGAGAAGTTTCAAGTTTTGTTATATAAATGTAAGATGGCGTTATTGCTACTTTCTAGTGAACTTGAGGGAATTGCAGATCCCCCTATAAGTAATGAGAAGTACTGCAAGACCTAAACAGTTCATTTATTTTGCCCACCTCAGGCCAGAAAGCTGAGAATATACATAGGCTTTCAGGACAGTTTGTTTCTTAGGGTCATTAGGCAGGTAGTAACCATCCAGCACATAAGGTTGATGGGGTGTATTAGATGCTTTGGTGTGCTGCTCATATTCTCCACCTCACCCCTAGACAAACATCAAGACAGAAGCAATTTATTATCTTAGCTTTCAAAATGTCAATGACTGTCATCTCTTACGTAGTTATTTCAGAGGCCCTCCTGAAAAGTACCAAAATCTTTCCCAGAAGAAGTCTGTGTCTAGTGACTGGTCATTGCCAGACTTTGAAGACTTTATTTACTTCCATTAGGGGACGTCTTTATAGATCTATTGCCGCTCCAGGGCTCCCTGGGGAGTTGGCAGAGTCCTCTCATGATTGCATTGCAGTCTGATGTGATCTTTTCCATCACTGTCCACCTGCCACCCTTCCTTTGCTTTCCCTGCAGGTATTAGTCCTAAGAGCACTGTGCAGTAAACTTTACTCTGCTCTAGGAAACCTGGGATAATGGATTAATGATAGAGGTTTCTCTGTTTTTCTCAGGCAGAAGCTCCTCCTGGGGTAGAAACAGATCTCATTGATGTTGGATTTACAGATGATGTGAAGAAAGGTGGCCCTGGTAGAGGCGGCGGTGGTGGGTTCGCAGCACCTGTTGGTGGGCCTGATGGAACAGTGCCAATGCCTATGCCCATGCCTATGCCCATGCCATCTCCAAATACTCCTTTCTCATATCCATTGCCAAAGGGACCA